AAAATTATTTGGATTTACTTCAAAATACGTTGCCAGAATTGTTAGAAGATTTACCTCTCCAACTTCGGAGAAATATGTGGTTTATGCAAGATGGAGCTCCACCACATTTTTCTTTAAACGTTAGAAACCACTTGAATGAACAATACCCACACAAATGGACAAGCAGAGGTAATAACGCACCTGTAAACTGGCCACCACGTTCCCCAGACCCAACACCGATATACTTTTTATTTGGAAATCTGAAATCCACAGTTTACAGGGAACCTGTAGAAAATGAGGAACAACTCTGGCAACGTATTCAAGATGCAATAAACAATCTTAGAGGTGATGAAGAAGTTATGGAAAGGATACATTTTAATTTTCTTCGACGTATAAATCTTTGTATGCGTGAAAATGGTGAACATTTTGAACAATTTTTGTAAAATCTCTATTTTGATTATGTTGTAAATAAATATTTTTGTGAAACCTATACACCCTAAATTATTAAAACAGAAATTTAGCGAAAACCATGAGAGTAATCGAGTCTTATCAAGAGTACCTTTTTTAAAGTAAATGAGTTGCGCAATCTAAATTTCATACTCAAACTTCTTTTCTTCCATTGGCGTAGAATTTTTAAAGGTGCAATTATTTTAAAAATCAAGTTCTACGCCTATGTATTATTATCGGACAAAATTTTAACACCGTTTTTTTTGTCACGTAAAACTCTACCAATATACCAAATTTCAGTAAAATCGCTTATGCCGTTTTAAATTTATATGGGAAAAACCATTTTAAATCGTTTTTCCCAAATAAATTTAAAACGGCATATATGATTTTGCTGAAATTTGGTATATTGGTAGAGTTTTATGTGGCAAAAAAATGGTATTAAAATTTTGTCCGATAATAATACATAGGCGTAGAACTTGATTTTTTAAATAATTGCACCTTTAAAAATTCTACGCCAGTGGAAGAAAAGGAGTTTGAGTATGAAATTTAGATTGCGCAATTCATTTACTTTAAAAAAGGTACTCTTGATAAGACTCGATTACTCTCATGGTTTTCGCTAAATATTTGTTTTAATAATTTAGAGTGTATAGGTTTCACAAAAATATTTATTTACAACATAATCAACATAGAGATTTTACAAAAATTGTTCAAAATGTTCACCATTTTCATGCATACAAAGATTTATACGTCGAAGAAAATTAAAATGTATCCTTTTCATAACTCCTTCATCACCTCTAAGATTGTTTATTGCATCTTGAATACGTTGCCAGAGTTGTTCCTCATTTTCTACAGGTTCCCTGTAAACTGTGGATTTCAGATGTCCCCATAAAAAGTAATCCATCGGTGTTAGGTCTGGGGAACGTGGTGGCCAGTTTACAGGTGCGTCATTACCTCTGCCTATCCATTTGTGTGGGTATTGGTATTGTTCATTCAAGTGGTTTCTAACGTTTAAAGAAAAATGTGGTGGAGCTTCATCTTGCATAAACCACATATTTCTCCGAAGTTGGAGAGGTAAATCTTCTAACAATTCTGGCAACGTATTTTGAAGTAAATCCAAATAATTTTCTCCAGTTAATCTTCGTGGAAGTATGACAGGACCAACAATAAAATTACCAATTATTCCGTTATTGCAGCCCACACATTAATTTTGAATTCGTGCTAAAAATGGTTTATCTTTATTGCATGCGGATTTTCAACGGCATAAACATGTTCTTTATAGGTATTAGTTATACCTCTTCTTGTAAAACCCGCTTCATCGGTAAAGAGAACCTTCTTGACAAAGTTTGGATCTCTTTCTCTTTGCATATTAACAAATCGACAAACACCAAATGAATTTGAGAATCATGGACTAATAATTCTTGTACTGGCTTCTTATGGTATGGATATAGCAATTGTTCTCTAAGCACTTTATGAACGACATCTTTACTTACTCCTAGTTCCCTTCCAATTCGTCTGGTGCTTAATTCTGGATCTTCTTCAACACGTTCTAAAATGTCTTCTTTAACTTCAGGAATCCTTATAAAACGTTTTCTTCCATTATCAACAGTGTTGGGAGCAAAGGAACCGGTCTCCCGAAGACGTCTCTCAACAGCAGCAAAAGTTGGGTGGCTAGGTACACGACGATTTGGAAACCTTTCAGAGTACACCCTCACACTCTTTCGAGCATTTCCTTCACAAAATCCTAATGTCAGTAACATATCGGTATATTCTGCATTGGTATATTGTACAGCCATATTAATAAACCACGCATTTGTTTTTTTAATTATTGAGTCAGATAGAACACTTTCAATCGTTAACAAGAGATTAGGTGTTAAAACTTGACAATATTTTTATTTAGATGAAACTATGGAAACCAACAATAAATGTTTTTGTATACGTATTGCAGGCAAATAATTAATATTCCTCAAAAAATCGTACATGGCAAGAATCGAGTATTTTTGTTAAAAGTCTCGATTAGAGGTGTTGAAGAAGATATGAAAAAAGTACATAGGCGTAGAACTTGATTTTTTAAATAATTGCACCTTTAAAAATTCTACGCCAATGGCAAAAAAGAGTTTTGAGTATGAAATTTGGATTGGGTACTCATTTACTACAAAAAAGTACCCTTGATTACACTTGATTTACTCTCATGGTTTTGACAAAGTTTGTATTTTAATAATTATTGTTTATGTTCTAAAATTACTAAAATGCAAATTTCGTCAAAATCATGAGAGTAATCGAGTCTTATCAAGAGTACCTTTTTTAAAGTAAATGAGTTGCGCAATCTAAATTTCATACTCAAACTCTTTTTCTTCCATTGGCGTAGAATTTTTAAAAGTGCAATTATTTAAAAAATCAAGTTCTACGCCTATGTATTATTATCGGACAAAATTTTAATACCACTTTTTTGCCACATAAAACTCTACCAATATACCAAATTTCAGCAAAATCGCATATGCCGTTATAAATTTATATGGGAAAACCATTTAAAAATTGTAACTTCAAGGCCCTCTGCAGCCCAAACGAAGCAACTTTGTACAAAGGTAATTTTACTTAAATCGACTTATTTTGGTCTAAGGAATATGTGGTATATTTTTGTAAAGACCTTTTACAGACACCCTGTATATTCAACAAATTTTCTTTTAATAGGTAATAGTATTTAATATTTACCACTGATTATAAAACACCATGTATACAACAAATTCGTCGGTTGTAGTGGTTCAAAAATATCAATTTATTAAAAAAACAAGTACTGTCAATCAGATACAGTCACAAAAATTACAATCAACTAACTGTACACTACAATTTTTATTATAATAGTAAAAGTTTGTGGCCTAGTTAATTCCGTAATAAGTAAGTGAAAGAGGACTATCAAATTACACCTTTTGTGGTTATGTGGGATTAGTTCTTTGTTTTAAGCACTGTTTCGTGTCATTCTGCAAACAACAAAGGATATAAAAGAAAACCATACAGGACTGGGTTACAAGATAATGGAATGAATCATAGACAGTGGTTTTTCGTAAACAGAATAAAAAAAAATATAGCGGGTTAATGTACAGGATGATTATATCAGCTTGTTCGTTATGATTTTATATTAATAAAAACTCACTACTCTAAGCATTCAAGGAAACCCAAAGGATAGTTAAGGTTTTTTTTTGTCATTAAATACGGATCTTAATAAAAATTAATAATCAACAAACTTTAGTGCATAGCAATTCTGATTACATTTTAAAAAAAAGGCATTGATTAGCATTTAATATTTGCATTTTAAAAATGAGTTCTTTATAATGGACAAAATACCAACTAAGGCTAAGCAATTTAAGAGGGTCTCAATTTTTTAGAATATTATTAAATCTGTCCATTTCTTCTACGTCATAAATTAGGTTTAATAATTAACATTTCCTCTTCCAATAAAACTTTATCTTTTAGACTATATTAAATAGTTTCTTATATTTATACTTTAAATATGAAATTAGGCAAATATTATCATTTAACAGGTATAAAGTAACATTTAAATTATCAGTGAGATGATTTTTGCAGCCAATCTAATGTCATTTACATTCATAATGGCTTATAAATTTATCTTTCTGAATTTTTTCATATAAGACAACTTGACAACGTTGCTTTTAAAAGACGTTCATCTAGAATACTAAATATTTTACGGAAAATAATGTATTATGAACTCTTCGAAAAATGAAAAACAAAATGATAGCAAGTGCTGACCCTATTTCTAGTTGCCTTTTAAGAGATTTTATTCACTTACTTGCTAAGCATTTAACAATTATGTTTAATTTGGCAACGTTGTACCCATTTGTAATTATTCTACTGCCTGCCTATAAGCACGAATAATAAATAATAACATCATTTTAATACCAATTTGCTTCTAAATAGATAATTAAATCCTTTCTTTATAAGTAAAACGCCACGCAACATTGTCGTTGAGGTTTTAGAAAGTATTCACGAAACCTTTATTAATTCTGGTCGGTTTCTCCTCAACCCTTTTGTAATAATTGTGTTAGATTTTCAAATGTGATGTAATCGTATCAAAGGGCCCGAATTCGTCGAAACTAATGCAATTCATTTAATGCGCTAGAGGTTTTAACGACGAATTTGTACATTATGAAAGCGAACAGGAAGTGGTTTAAGTTAAAAGATTAATTCTGGCTCTAAAAAACTAGAATCATTGTTTTAAGTTTCGCCATAGCTTTAGCTTTCAAATAAACATGGATTAATAAGATTCTAAAATCATAAATCAATTTTTATTGTTCATTGAATATGGAAAATATACAGGGTGTCTGTAAAAGGTCTTTACAAAAACATACCACATATTCCTTAGACCAAAATAAATCGATTTAAGTAAAATTACCTTAGTACAAAGTTGCTTCGTTTGGGCTAAGGAATATGTGGTATGTTTTTGAGATCCTTAACCTTTGGTCAAAATATTTACCATTCTCTGTGAAATACCTAGAGAATATTATGCGAATTATTGGCGCAGTCAACAGGATCTATTAATGTATATATAATTTCCTTTACAGATTAATTCTCGTGACGAATCAGAGAAAACGGTCAAGGTGTCACTTCCAGACAATGTGGTCGCCACAGTCTACGTGAGGGATTCAATGTCCGTCGAAGAATTCTTGGCGAGTGCGTGCGCCAGGAAGAACCTCAACTCCACAGAACATTTCATACGCGTAAAGAAGAGGAAAGAACTGGAAGATCACAATTATTACGTGCCCCATCGAAGCGATTTAATAGAGACCTACGTAAGTGGTATTTGTTGTTTTTGATTAGATATAATCTAATAAAAATCATTTTATTATTAATACTAGTAAGCAGTGAGTTTTAAAAAAATCATCAATTCCAACCCAAACGTTCAATTTCAGAACGTTCAAACACACGGAACTTTAAATTACAATTTTCAGCGTAACCGCGCGGCTCAGAACTCCAACAACTCAGAAAACTGGTTCTTTTCAGGACCGCAAACCAATTTCGTTCGTCCATTCGAAACATTCCTCCATTTTCGAATTGATAACGGAATAAAAGCAAACTGTGTATAGACTTAGAAATCGAAAAGTTACTCGATCATTTTCAGTTTAATTGAAATGGGAGATGTGTCCCGAGTTTTCGTTTATTCTTGTAAATGTAGAGCAATCAATAATATTTTCAACAGTAATTTATAGGTTATTGTCAAATTAGTTCACTATAAATTTAAATAAATTAATTCATTATTTCCAAATTCGTTTACATCTGGAAAAATATTAAAACTTTACTGTCAAATGCGGGTTCTGTCAGATATTCTTCTTATTTGTGACAACATTGAACATTTTTTTTTAATTGGCATAATTAAAACTTGTATTGGAATCATTTTTAATTTAAATTAAAGTTGACTACAAATGTGCATTTTAATTTGATAAAAAAACATTGTTTTTTGTTCAGAATATACCTTTTGGTACCTCATTAATTTCACTAATACTAAGCATTGTATCTGTAGAGATATATTACCCCTATATGGGGGTTATGATTGACAACCTGTGTTATTTTTAACAGGTCTGTTATCTAATAAACACAAATAACGTGCCTGTTAAAAATAACATTACTTGTCAATCATAACCCCTTTATATCTGTTACATGTTCCATCTAGAATAGAAAAATTAAATGTTAAATTATCTAGTAACACAAAATTAGTGTTATTTACTGTAACAAACTTATTAACCCAGTCGAATACTTATTAGATCGTATTCAAGTCAAGAACCGAAATAAAAGCACCAAAATTTAAAAAAAAAATGCGTATTTTAATGCAATTGATAATATAGAACGTAATATTCACAGCAATAATTTAAGTAAACATTGCTAAAGAAATTACAGAACCCTGTAATATTAATACGTTTATAAATTAAACATTTTCTTTAAAAAAAAAACTAATGAAAAGGTCATAATTCCATCTCACTCATCGTACAAATATAGAAAAGTTAGAAATGAACCTTTTGATATCTCTCTGGTTAGAAGAAGCTTGTTTGACGGTTGGCGACATTAAGCCAGTAACTTTTGGCGAATTCCCTATTATCCGGATTACGGAATGGAACTTACGGCTTTTCCGGAAGTCAGTTCGGCTTACGGAATATGAATAATGTCGGTTGAATCCGGATGCTGCTGCTGCTGCTGCTTTGGTATTCGGATCACATTCTAAGTCAGACGGGATGTGGATTAAATGCATGTTATTTTAAACAATAATTTTAGCCTACAACTGTGGTGCATACGGTCCAAGGGGTTGGAAAAAAATTATGTTGACGACGATTTCTAGTGACAGTTGAGAAACATACAGTGTGAAACATCCAAATGGAATAAATTCAGAACATATCTTAATTATTGTGTATACTGAATTAACAGCCTGAAACTTAAAAAAATGATAGTTAGGTATGTGATAATATATTTTTTGTTCAGTATTTCAACTGTCATTACATACTTATAGGATTCTTTTCCTTGATAATATTTTATCATCGTCTTCGTTTTCTTTTCTTTCGCATTAAACGATCTTTCAAGCTATTCTCGTACTACGTTTCAATCTAAAGAACAAAATATAATTAAAAACTGCAAATTGAAAAGCTTAATTAGAGAGAAAAGTCGGCCACCTTTCGTCTTTCTGATTAATGCCGTATTGACCCATCGCGTTTAGTCAACTGTTAGCAATTTTCCTGAAGCAAAGCATAATTGCAGATAATCATTATTGGCCCTTTAATTCAATATACATGCAATTACACTCTCTTGCATAAATTAACCTTATAGAATCCCATTGTGTACCTAGATATAGTTTAATTAGATTACATATATATGACTCACAAAAAAGCTTAAAACATTCTAAGAGAATCATTTTTGCGTATTTCAGATTTCACTAATAGTCCAATTAAATAACGAAAAAAAGCCCCTTCGAGCTTACATTAATTTGTAATTGGATAAAACAAAAAGGACCTTGTGTATTTTGATGTGATCTTTCCGAAAAAAAGAAAACGAAGATGTAGCAGTTTTTCAATTTTTTTAAAATTAGGAAAAACCGGGTTTTCCGGAATTTTCCATTGTAAAAATGCTAATTATCTGGGCAAGTATCATTCCGATAGTGAAAATAAATCGTTTTTTTGATCAGAACCATGGACATGAAATTTGCGATGAATTTGTGGCTAAATTATAAATGTTAGACATATGTGCCCATGAGAGAAGTTGCGTATTTTTTTGTTGGCTCTCAAATAAAATAAGTCCCGCGGCGAAATCTGACATAATTTTTCGGGAATTCGCAGGAAACCAGAGGCGTAGTTTTTTTTTAATTTTTTCCCCATGTGATTTTGTCCGGGTTTTCCGAAAACATCTAACAAAATAAATATATTTGAAAAAACTAACTTCGCCATCGAACAGAGCACAAAAAAATACACAAAAAGGTATACTTTAAAAATGTTAGGAAATTAATCCTAAGCCTGAGTGAAAGTTCCAACTTGGTGATAAGCTTGCTTTTTGTTCGCTAATATCTGGTAATTCTATATTTTGCACAAAACTCAAGAAACGTCTTATAACAAGTCAGTAAAATACAATTTAATAAATTTTAAGCCTAATAAATTTAGATATGCAAGAAATTTAAAACTGGAAATCGCAAAAAAATCAAATTACAGTAATGTAGTGTATACACGAGTTTTGGATCCCGCAGAGCGCGTGTAATGGGACTTTTGTCGGGAGAATTCTACAACTTAGAAGAAACATACACACTTTAAACTTTGTACGCACATTTAGAAGACATGAAATTTGGGTTTGTTTAATTTTCAGACAAAAATACTTAAAATTGTCAATTTTAGGCAACTTTTCTCAAAAACCGTGTTTTTTGGTCGTCACTCAATGAACAGTGGTCAAAAAAATAGATAAAATATATTTGCAGAATTTTCCGTAATTTAATCGTATTCTAGACACAATAGAGTACTCAAAAAAACAGTTTTGAGCCATTGGGTGCATTTTTGGCATTTTTGTGCCACTTCAAACTTTCGAAATTGTTTGATATCTTGGCCAATTATAATCCGATTTCGGTAAAATTCACACACGTATAAGATTTCATATTTAAGAGTAAGCTCTGTAAGTGGCATTAAATAAATTTAAATAGTTTGGCCGTTATAGGCAAACAATGAAATTAGGCTTGCGGTACACTTTGCCCTTCCGCCATATGCCCAATTTTGGGATTTCTCTTGCCCCCTTCTGGGAATCACTAGTCACATCCCTTAAGTTCAAAACGCATTTTTGTTTTTTTAAATATCTTAATTTTTACTAATGTAATAAAGAATTTAGTGTTTGAACATTTAACAAATTCAATTTTTCGACCTTCGTCGCCTCAAAATACTAAACAAATTTCAATCGTCCATACCGCGAGAACGGTGCATCGGATCAAAATTTCTCAGGAGACATAAAAATTAGCATTTTTCCTATGCTTTCAAACCCGACTGCGTTTTAAAAATATTGATTGATTTCCGACATGCGCCTGCGCAAAATTGAAAAATTGACAATATCCAAAATTTCGGCACTTTCGAAAAACTGCTACATTTTGTTTTGCCTTTTTTCGAAAAGATCACCTCAAAATGTATTTTGTATAGAATCCATTTTGTTTCATCTAATTTAATTCGATTATTAATGAAAATCAATAGCAGTTATTTGCCTAATAATGGGAACATTTTAGATACAGAACTTTAAAATATATTTTATTGTGTATGAGCAAAATATTTGTAGAAGTATGTGAATCATTTAGAAATGTGAACACTATAAGTAAGTAAGTAAGGTAGATTTTATAATGTTCTAACCGATTTTATAAAATAAACAAATTAAAAAAACAAATTTTCTATACTAAATTTTTGTATAAAGGCTGTATGTCACGATACTAAATTAAGTACTAAATTTAGCATTTAATTAAGTTATTAATTTAGTACTATATTTAGAACTAAAAATATTTTTTTTCCGTTTGCAACGATACCAATTTTTAGTACTAAATATACTATAGGCGCACGCGCATTGACGTATTAATACTTGAAATTAACAGAGAAATGAAATATTCTGTGTAAAACAGACAAGCAAATGGTGTTTTTATTATCAATTTGACACTAGTTGACTTGACAACAACCAAATACAGCATAAAAACCACGAAACAAACACAATAAAACCTACAAAATCAAACAAGCGAACTTTATTCAAGGCGATAATGTAAAATTGTCGCTAATTAAAAATAAAAATGTACAAAAAATACTGTCGTGTCAACTTTTTCTATAAAAAACTTCTGCGCAACATTTCGGCGCACTTTTAGTACTAAATTTAGTAGAAAATAGGAAAAGATCTAATTAATTAATGACTTTTTTTAGTACTAAACTTAGTACTAAATTTGCTGTTTGCAACGTGAATTTTTTTAGTACTTAAAAAATGCATTAATTTAGTTCTCAATTTACTACTTAATTTAGTATCGTGACATACAGCCTTAAGAAAGGAGTTGATAAATGTTTGTTACCACTATAATGCTTGCGATATTACGGTCATCAAATACCTACCCTTCATAAAATTTTCACGTACCTTATACCGAAAACTACCTATATACATATTTCATCACTTATCTTCGAAGAGCTTTCTGGTGAACGATAAAAATCCATCCTTAGACACCCTTCTTGGCCTTCCGGTCCTTTCTACCGTTTTAAAATCATCGGTGTCGATTGAAAGTCGCCAGAAAAAAGTATCAATACAGTGGCGCGACCGGTCA